ATGAAGCTTTAGAATTGATAATTCCGTTAGAGAACTGCAGTGTGTAGTTTGAACAGAAGTTGAAAATGAGTAAGTGGAATTTTTGTTAATATAGTTTGAGTTTTCTTCGTTTTGTAGCTTTGCATCTGATAATCATGCGGTAGGTTCAAAGCAAAGCATGGTGACTTTACAACTGAAACTCCTTAGCGCCACCTACTGAGAGAATTACGAATGTATCTGTCCACCTCTCAGCAACCTTTGAACTCCTGATCGACTTTACCGAAGACATCATCTTTCTAAATAATCAGAATCTACAGAACATTTCCTTGCTCACAAGTGCTGCCTAATAGCAGAACTACAAATTGATCCGTTGACCACCCAGCCCTTGACCTCCCGATCGACTTTGCTGAAGGCATCACCCAAGTAACCACCAAACCCGCTAATAGCCCGATAATCGCCCTTTGTACAATATAAGGTTAATGTAGGGCTTCCATACTTTTTATCAGCCGTATATCAGCTTTATATTGCAAAAAGGGCGATTATCGGGCTTGATGATTACTTGGGCACCCTTCTATATATATATATATATGTTAAGATAGCTCCATCGCAAATTTGGCCAACATTTGGCAAGGCAGCTAGCATGGTCAGCACCCAACACCCAAACCTAGCATTAGCAGTTCTCTACCTCTTAACTCAGACAGCATAGTAACGAACCTATAACGAACCTAGCCTTCTGGCACAATAGCTGACGATGATACCGGGAAACAACTCAGTAATCGTCACCTTTGCAACAGCGACGGCGAATGCATTCCTCGCAACAAATCAATATGTATTTAGATTACTTACTCAGCAGACCGATAGGGCTTTGAATAAACGTTTAGTTAGTCTTCATCCTCGATCGTTTTTTAAACCTTGGACTGTACATAATATTTGAATGCACACTTGCGCCATTTTTTGGCAGAATTCCGAATTTATAGATCCACCTCTCGGTAGTCTCTCACCTCCTGATCAATTTTGCCGAAAACTTCACCCGTGTAAGTAATCAGGATCTTGAGATACAGCAGTATAGAATATGTGAATGTGGAATGCTCACTAGTGACGCCTAGTGGGGGATTTTTAATTGATATGTGCACCATTCAGCAATCCTTTACCACCTGACTAACTTTGCCCAAGACATCATCCTTCTAAATAATCAGGATCTTTAGGCATAGCAGTACAGAATATTTGTATGGTGTGGGTGGCATACGGACCCCAGGTTTTCAACTACGTAAAGTCCAACAAGGGAGCACCCATAGGCTCAGTCGGTAAAGGCACAGCTCCAAAATAAGACCCGGTTCGGTCTAGGCTTTTTCGGGATGGGAAATTTCTCGACTTCCCTGGTCATAGAGTATGACTGTACTTGCCACACAGTTATACTAATGCGAAAATGGTACAGGCATCGAAAGCTCTCAATTAATAACTGTGGAAGTGCATTTAGAACACTTAGTTGAGAGTACGCAATAAGCTAATATGCGCTAAGCAATAAGCTTGAAATGCGAATAAGAAGAAGAAGACACCTTAAATCAACCAATAACCAGCTGTTCTTACTGTTCAGCTTGAATTGCCCAACAAACTATTTGTGCTGATTAAAGGCTGAATAAGCAATATTTTAGCTGAAGAAGTATATTTTTGCCTGAATAAGCTCTTATTCTGCTTCCAATGTTTGTTAGGGAGCTTGGGAGCTTCTAGAAAAATTAAAAAAAAATGACAAATCCTCAATATCTACAATGTCTTTGTAAGACAGAAAAAATGTTTAAAAGCTCATGAAAAATGAACCTCTTTGAGATATTTTAAATTATGGACACATAAAAATTGGCAAAAAAATCGTTGAACAAAATATTTGGTAAAATTTTCGATATTTTTGTTATCACGTTTTGTTATGTAATTTATAATCAGAAAACAATGTCGAAGACATTTTAAATCATTTTCATTTAAAAAAATGCATGCAAAAAGCGTCCAAAAGTTCTGGTGTAACGATTTTTGTCAGTTCTCAAGTGTCTAGGGTTTTAAACATTTTAAAAGATTGTCTTGAGAAGAAAGCTTTTTTCTCATATATATATATATTTTTTAATCGGGAAAAACATTTTAAGATATTTGAGTTTTCAACATATTTTTTTTAATTTTTAAGTGAAATAAAAAAAAAAAAAAACATCAACAACTTTGTCTCAGACGTCATTTCGATCAGAAATGCCGATTCCGTGCAATATTTGTCAAAAAATTTCAAGGAAATTTTGTCAATTTTACATACTCCAAAATAGCTGAATTTTAGTAAAAATTTAAATCATTGCTTACAATAACGCAAAATTTCCTACAAATTGGAGAAGGTCGCATTCAAAACTTCGATTCAAAACTTATTTTGCTACACTATTTTACCTGGAACTGCTTACGGGAAATTATTTTAATAGTTTTACCGTGTCTTTATCTCAGACGTCATTTCGATTGAATGTGACGTCTTCGAGTTATAATTTGTTAAAAAATATCGAAGACGCCATTTTGAACGACATTGGGATGATACTAATAGATATTTTTGGACGCTATCGAAAATATAGTCGATTGTTTAATTTTTGTATGGGCACAAATTAGGGGCATTTCGGCCGACATTACATCAACTTTCCATATTAAAAGCTTGCACTTTCATAAGATTTTTTTTTTTCAAAAATGGGGCAAGGAAATTTTGAAACATTTGGGTCTTTCCATGCTACAGATTTTTGACAACTTTCAAGAAAATTTTGTAAATTTTACAAGATTTAAAATGACTCAAATTTAGCAAAAATTTTAATCCGTGCTCAAAACAATCAATTACGCCAAGTTTCATACAAATTGGAGAAGGGCAAATCAAATATATATTTTTGTTTAACAATTTATCCTGGAACTACTCAAGGGTAGTGTTTTTTTTATATTCTTGGTTAAACACTTTTTTTCACAACATTATTTTAATTCGTTTACCGTATATATTTTTCCAGAAAAGTTATTCTTTTGCTACTATCTTGTCTCAGACGTCATTTCGATTGGAAGTGATGTTTTCAAGTTCGAATACACCATTTTAACTTGCTTAGGATTCAAATTGACCAAATTTTTGCAAAACTGTGAATGACTGTCCATAGCAAATAATTGTACAGATTTTCATGCGAATCAGAGATGGTCGCATCTAATTGAATTGTCATTTGGTGTGGAACTGCATTATTGTGAGACTCTGAAATATTTTATCGGTACCAAAAAAAAAAAAAATCACATTAAAATTGAAAAAAGTAGAAATTCTAACTATTGGCGTATGAACTATTTTAAGTATTTTTAAGAAATTGGATTTTCCTATCCAAAATTTCGATACAAAATATAATAAACTAAGAAATATTTTTGATTTAGTATGCTTACTGAGATCTACGATCAAGAAAACTAAGAGACTAAAACTTTTTATTAAGATCCAAAGTAAAAAGTAATTTTTTATACATCCCGGCAATTAAAAAAATTAAATATTCTGTGAAGACCAGCTCCAGAAATTGAATAATGTTCACGGTTTAATAGTTTAGAATAAAATTTCAAATTTAAGTCTTGAAAAAAATATTCTGCTAACTTTAAAAACACTTCCCCATATGTCAAGATAACGAGTAGCACCACAAAGAACTATTAGAGTATTGTCGGAGCTTTTAGTGCTCTGCTAAGCATTGTCTGTAAGCCATTAATCTAGAATGAAATTGGAATTTACAATAAGCCAAATTTTTCAAAATGAATTCTTTGCAAAAGAAAACTCTTGGAATCAATTTAACAATTTTATAGATATTCTTATAAATTCTCACAAAAAATCAAACAAGTGTGCCTCTATAATTTTTAACTATCTGTAGTATTTTCGTGGGATATTCCTAAGAATTCATTTGGTAAACTGTTCAGAATTACCTTGGAACACTCTTCAGAATTTCTCATGAAATTCGATTCACAGCTGCATTTAAAGTTTGCTCGGAACTTCTAACATCCCTTACAACCAACTCTGAAATTTGGGGAGTTCCCATCTGGAACTCTCAACCTTTATTACTAGGGAAACATCTTTCTGGGGTTTTCAGAGACGAACAGGCTCACGACTGAACGTCTTTTTAATAAAGAAATCTAATGTAATCTTATCTGAACTTGACATCGTTCTTCATAATTTTCCAAAATATGTTATAAAAATTCTCCTTAGCTTTTCCTAAGCAATTTCAAATTTTTTCGAAATACTCCACATAATTTCCTTAGCTGGAGACTTTCCTCCTATAATTATTTTTTTTAAATATTTTATTAATGTATAATGAAAGTGATAACTTTACTCTGTAAAGTTTGTTCGATTAAGCCTATGCAAAAAAATAATTTAGTAAAAAAAATAATGTGATCCTTTTGATTTGATTCGGTAGGAGCATTTCTTGGACCGTAATATCCACAAATAAGGATTTTAAACCGTGATTACATATTGGAAAAAAAGCAAAACAAATATTCTACTATCTCAAGGAAAAAATTAAAAAATTCATAACCAATAAACACACTATCTTTCAGCGGTCATTCTTCCCCTTACCATTTCGGTCACCGGCTATTCCTTACACTTTCTTCCCTTTTATTGGCCCCATCGCACCGCCGACAATTTATTACGTGTGCTTACTAATGCTATATTAAAATATTATCCATGTTTACCTAAAGTAGCTATAAATCATTGCCTTCAATCCGTGTCTCGTCCCATTCGCGAAAATCTCTAATCCCAAGAACGCCCGGCCCGCTCGTCCCCATAACTGCTCGCCATTTTCTCCACACACAGAGAGCCTATCATCGATCAATAAGGGAACCTAATGAATCACTGCTCGCGCGAAACGCTCATTTTTATCCACCTTCCCCACTCACAACACCCATTTATTAAAACAACAACAACACACACAAACGCTGGGTAGTAGATAAATGCCACCAACACACACTCGTATTTACAAAGCGCCTTCGGAACAAAACAATAAATCTCTGCAAGGACTCACCTCCGCCCAGTGTCGCGACCGCCTGGTGTTTGGAAGTGGTCGTCGTGCCCACCACGGTCCCATTGTTGGTCTGCATCGTCGGAGAGGCCCCCATGACCCCGTACTTGATCGGTTTGAAGTGGAAGAAGGACGGCGAGTAGCCGGATCCGGCACGGCTCAGCGAACTGAACCGCTCTTCGCGGTCTTCCACGTACAGGCCTTCCTTGCCCATGGCCGCCAGCTGGCGCCCTTTGGGCATAAACATCACCAAGAACACTGTCGAAGCCGTTGCCACTAGTCCGAAGGCAAGGCACGCGTCACGATGCCGATCGGCCACGGCCAAACCGCACAAGGTCCATCCCAGCCAGATGGGGATGATTCCGCCAACGGCCAGACCGATGTAGGTTGCTTCTCGGTAATTGTCCCGAATGCCCCGCGATTTGATTGCCAAAATTGCGACGAAGATGATCAGGAATACCACATAGATCAGCGATAGGAGCAGCTCGGAGAATGATGTGTGACAGAGCGGGATGGTGGGATTGACGTGGGTTAGGTCTCCGGCGGTGAGGAGCAGGTGGTACCGGCTGGAAACTGCGGTACCACCAGAGATGGGAACCTGGTCAACGCTCGGAGGTGAGGTTAGCAGCCATTGGGCACCAACGGCCACCTGGATCAGGACAGCGAAGAGGAGTAGAAGCCCTTGGTAAGGCGCTGGAAGATACACTCCGCCGTTGAGACTGATCAAGAAGACGCATTTGACCAGGAGGGAGGCGAATACAAGGGCGAAAGCAACTCCCGCGCCGAAGCGCATCGTTGCACAGGAAAGGATGGTTGGATTGATGGTAAGGACTGCTGCTAGGCCGGAGCAGGAGAACAGTCCCAGGAGAAGCATTTGGCCGAGAAATAGGTGGCGTCGGCTGGGAGATGTACGCCAGGCTTTGCAGAGAACGAATATCTCGAAGGCAGCCATCATGATCATCGACAGGCAAGCAAGTACCAGAACTGGCACCACCCAGGGTTCCTTCCGCAGTCCACTCGGATAGCTGGTGGAGACTATGGTCGGTGGTGTGACATTTAGCTTATGGGTATTGCTGTTGCTGTTGTGGTGGCTCGTTGGATTGCGAGCCGCCAAGATTACGCCACCAGGACGCACGGTCGTCGAACGGGATGCAGCGGGAGACGCGGTCGATGGCACTACGAAAAACTCGGTGGACATTTCTAGTCGATGTGCCTGCGCTGAGGACGCATTCACACCAGCACTACTGCTGCTGCTGACATTCTGCTGGCCGACCAGCAGTGCCAAGCTGTTATCCCTAATATTAGCACTCTCCAGCAATACATGCTGCTCTTCTTCACCACTACTCTTAGCACTTCTTCCCTGCACATCGAAATGATTCTGTTCTTCGACTTCTTCGAAATCTTCATCTTCACCTTCATCCTCGCCTTCTTCTTGATCGGGTTCGTCTTGTTCTTCTTCGGGCCCCGCGTAGTAGTCACTGCTAGTATTTGTATCCTCCAAATTCTGGGTAACGCTAGCCACCAGGACGTCACTTCGCTTGATGTCGTGATCATTATTTACCAACGTGTGTAGCTCTTCATGATTGGCGCTTGCACTACCACCAGTTACCACATTTGCCACACCGACACCGAATCTTCCCGCGTTCCGATAGGTCATCCCGGGATACGGATTCCCGGGTCCCGGTTGTCGTCGGAACTTGTTTCCACTCGCGTTGGCCACCGACGGCCCAACGGCACTCACGATCGCGGCACCTCCATCTTCCACGTGAGGTCGATTGCGGGGCGCTAACCGGTCGCCAAATTTCGGAATATTCAACAACTCGCGATAATTTCTGCTTTCATCCGCGTTAAGATCGTCGAGCTCGCTGCTGCTGCTACTTGCGCCACCAGAACACCGATTCACTAAGCTCGCTAAGCTGAGCGTAACGATCGTTACCGCCAGCATCAGCGTCGACTTTTTTGGCCGACGAGCCATATCTGACTGACAGAACAGAGCTGACTGCCCGATCAAAACGCACTCAATCAACACACAGACTGGGGATGGAGAGCTATCCATTCGCTCCCTCTCATCATCAATTTTCTCGCTCCCCATGCATTTCTCCTCGCTCACGTGCACAAATTCTGCATAGAAACAGTTTTACCGCGCGCGGAGAATCCTGATCCAAAACCGGTACCCGCGAGCCGAGCCGGAGTTGCAATTTCTCCATTCTTGTAGGTAGCTCTACTCGCGGCGCGGGAGTTCAAGTTCGCGATCGCAAGAAGCGAGCCGCCTTAGCTCAGACCGTCATCAACTGCGTCGATCGTGCCGGGGCCTGGGCGGCTAATGACGACGACTGCGTCGATGACGATCGACGCTCTCTCGCTGCTCTCCCGCTCACGATCCAGCGTGCCTCTCTGTTTTGAAATCGAAAAGTGAGAGAGCTGAAATTTAAAATCTCTTGCACACCGCGAGGTCTCAATTTAAAGGGACCCCCATCGGTAGGTCGATCCCGATCGAGAGAAAGAGCCAGAGCCAGCCAAGCTGCATGGGTTCAAAGTCAATGCTTCGCTGCGTTATGCTGCGACTGTGAGGTTCAAGCACATAATAATAATACGGCAATAAGCCAGTCGCATAACAGCCGTCGTTGGGACGTGCGGTGGTAGGTTGGTGATGATCGCACCCGGGCTCAAGCGTGCCCCCTCCTGAAGACGAAGACGACGGCGACGAGATGGGTGATGATCGTGGGCTTGGTAATTGGGACCGTGTCGCTACGTGATGTCAATGGTATGATGTAATTTTGTTATCACGTTGGGTCACGCAAGTTCACCTGAAGAAGAATGTAGATCTTTTCATAAACAATGGATATCGTTTAAATGTATGTAGTGTGATTTAGTAAAATAAATTAGGAATCGATGTTAGTTTATCCCTGACGTTAGAGAGAGAGAGATATAAATAGTGACGAACGCTTTCCGTTTGAACACAGATTTTTTTTTCGAAATCGCTCATAAATTATTTTTTCTAAATTTAAATATGACATAATTCACATCATTGCGGTCATAGTTACCAAAATATTGGATCCTCATATTCCAGTTGAAAACTGTATGCTTTAAAAGCTTTTAGTCTATTATTGTTTATTTTATATAGAAACGTTACTAACCTCGAGAAGACCACGAGTAATCGGTTCACATACTTTAATTTTAGATTTAGGACATTGATAATGTATAACGAAAATGATAACTTGGCTGTGTAAAGTTTATTAGATTACCCAAGTAACCAACAAGCCCGCGAATTCGCCTTTTTGCAATATAAGGCTAAAATGCGGCTAATATAAAGCGTAGCATGCACTATGTTAGCCGTGCGTTACTTGTTAACACGAATTGTCACGAGATTTGAACCACAACCAAAACATTTTTTTTTCTTTTTTTTTTAAAATCGCTTTAACGCTCTTGGGTCATTTGTGAGTTGTCCGGGGGTGAGATTTGAACTCGTGACTTTGGCGTGAGAGGTATGGATGCGAACAACTACGCCGGGGTTGCCCCCACCGAAACATTGAAATACTTGAAAATTTTAAGATAAAGTATAATAGTCACAAACGCATGACATACATCAATTTTGCATAGCTCTACGTCATACTGCAGTCGTGTCTAGGATGCAACCCTTTAATTTTTTTTAACCAAGAAATGTTTTAAAATTTGGTGAAGAGTTTAGGCTGGTGACTTGCTTAAAAAAAATCTTTAATTTTATTATTTTTGTTAATTTTTGAAGTTAATGAAATTGCATATTTTTTAGGAGAATAAAAAATAATTTGAATAATGAGAGAGAGAGAAGGATTAGTAATTTCCATTTAATTCTACTACCTTATTTGCTTATCCTTGACAGATACGCATATTTCATCTACAATGTGCAGACTTCTTCAGTGTCTTGTACTACTCGGGTCAAGTATTAGTACAAGACACTGAAGAAGTCTGCACATTGTAGATGAAATATGCGTATCTGTCAAGGATAAGCAAATAAGGTAGTAGAATTAAATGGAAATTACTAATCCTTCTCCCTCTCTCATTATACAGGTATTCCACTAAGAAGCCCACATTCATCAGGAAAAAATAATTTGAATTTTTGCCTTATTTTCAGTAAATTAGCACATTATAACTTTTTTCTAAGTCCAGTCGTTCTCAAGTTAATGCGAATGATTAATAATAGGAATAATAATTTTTCAAGAAGGATCTAAGTAGGTTCTACTCGCGAATGGTTGAGTTTCTTGCGCTCCTGTCACGATTTTTACTAGTTTGACTGTGTGTTTTCGTCTAAAAACTCTTTTTCGGTTGTGTAATACTTAAAAAAAATAAGGGGGGAGGTAGCTCATCGATTCTTCCGGTTCGCCTCCTAGCATCGTGCTATGAGGTACCAGGGTAGTTGATCGATAGCTCGATGACGTCATTTCGTTGGCGTCTGCAATGGGAAATTCTCATAGCAGGCGTTGACGATGGGACGTTGTCGAGTTGTTGAATAGCAACTATCGTGGTAACTCACCGATTACCTGTCGATCTGCCAAATTTGGAAAGACGTCTGCATTGAATTGTCTCATATAATAATATTCCGCCCACTATATCACAAGAAATTGCGAGTAGCTGAGTGGAATGGAGATAAGTTAAGCATTGGGTACAGGACCAAGTCTCCCCTGGGTGGTGCCAGAAGATGAGCGCAATAGAATCATCAAGTTGCCATAAGGCACGGAATGAGACTATTGCATGGCTGGGTAGTCAAAGTCTTCCATTCGTTAGTCATTTCAGGTGGATCCTAAATAGGACCTAGATTATGTAATACACTAGTAACCTCAACTTCTGTCACAATGTTTCATTGTGACTAATCAACACTCAATGGGTAAAATATCAAATTTGCGGTAAATTTAAAAAAGGGAACTCGGAGTGTAGAGCGCACTGCCCACTGGACGATTCTGAAGCCTGACCAAGTGAGTGGGTTACGGGTTTATTTGATTGTACGTCATTTCCAAGTTATATATAGATACATTCATACCATTGGCATTTTGTATTTGAGATAAGACAGAGACAGGATGCGGAGGGCCCGCTTAGGGGGAGCGTAACCCATGTTATGGCTTCCATTTATTAAATAGTTCAGATAGGCTGGAAATGATAGGTTCATGGTGAGAAAATGTACCATATGGTGCCCGTTCACTGATCAAAATAAGATTCAAATCCTCAGGCCCTGCCCTGTAATAAGGGGATTGACGATGATTTGTCAAGTTTCATTTTGCATTTGCATATAATTGTAAGGTTTGCTTTTGTAATTGTAAGATAGATAGTTTGCCTCAATCGAAACATTGAGTTGTATAAACTTGACGAATCATACCTCTAAAATAGTAGTAGTTACAGTACCGCATTATCTAACAAACACTGCCTGCAACTAATGTTGGAGTTGTCGGCAGGTCTGATTACGGATCAAAACTAACACAACTCTAACACTGAAATGATCCCGAAACTAACGCTCATTCATTGCACTTTGAGTCATAAAGTAGTCTTATTTATTTTCCTACTAATCTATCTACACAATTAATTTTTTTCTACCGAGCTCGGCTGTGCGGGTCTCGGCGGGGAGGGCTTCGCTGAGATCTCGGCGGGAGTGACATTTGATTGAGGTCTCGGATAATGCCTTTTCTAATAATATGCTTACGTTTCTTTTCTTTGTTATCTACTTTATCCCCTTTTTATTTTTCTGCTCTTCTTTCCTCTTCTCTTCTTTTGTTTTGTTTGTTTACATATAACTAATACTAATACCTCCTTGTCTTCTCTCTAATTTGTCTACTATGTCCCACCATCACGATGAGAGATGAGCTACCGTACATGGCACACGCTCATATACACTCCCAAAATAGTATGCCGCAAGTAAGTATATCACAGAGGCAACTAAAGATCCAGAAACAAAAACCGATAACGCTCAACGGCAGATTGGTTTACAGTGGTCAACCAGGGTGTGTGTTGATAAATTACAAAATTACAATTACATCATTATTTCATACATCAGCTTGAATTACGTTGATCGATATTACATTTTTTTTGCTGTGCACTACACCACCGGAGCCAGCAAAGTTCAACAATCCATCGTTGCTTATGCCTTTGTTGTCGTTTGGAACCAGTTTTGCGAGGTAAGCGACGATTGTGCGTATTTCTCGCGTAACTTTTGAAAAGGGCCTAGCCTGAACAATACGTAAAGAGCAAATTGAAACATTGTACGTCGCGTGAAAGTGGAACTTAATGAAGGCCTAAGTACTTTTTCGTAGTTTTTAGTTTTCGGATTTGAAAGATCGTCGGTTACAGTGGCCTGCTTACTGAGCAGAAAAATGCGGTCCCAGGTCCTTACATATCAAAGAGATTTATGGTAAAATCGCTTGTGTATCGTGTATTTTGCGAAACTCGTTGTTGTCGTTGGTTCCGGGTTTGAATGGATACACAAATTTGAGCAACGGTATTATGTGATATGAGGGGCTCGGTGGCCTTAGAGCAACCGTTTCTGCTTACTGAGCAGAGCATCATGAGTCTAATCTCAGGCCCATCCACACTCAAGATTCGTCAATCGTTTTATTTGTTAATATGACTACATGGTAATAACAGCAACTCGGTGATTAAAAAGGTGCTCATCTGCCTAGTGGCAAACGTTTTTGCTTACTGAGCAGAAGACCGTGGGTTTAGTCCCAAGCTCCTTCGCGTTATATGATCGTTAGGACATCAATTCAGCTTATCGTTTACCAAAACGAACCCTGCTGCAAACCCAACCCTCTTATCCAACATCCCAGTGATTCCTCGTGGAAGTGCAGAGGTGTTCTCGGCTTCCATCAAAGCGAGTGTCATGTCAACACAATCCTTCCCATTCCTTTCTTGACCTGTGTTCGGGCGCGGCCGGCGCTGGTATTGCCTAATTTAAGATCACCAGTTTTTACACATTGAGGATGATTGCTAGTCCCAAGCATCGTCTATTGGTTCTCTGTGTAATTACAGCTGATCTGG